GCTTAACATCACAACACAAGACCTCAGAGAAGAAAAGACGCAGACTTTAACAGGGGAAAAAAAGGGCTGTGGCAAAATGTTGGCTTCCAGCATCATTTATAAATATGCACATGTCAAATCATCTGCTAATAATTTTATAAGCAATCCAATGCAGGCCTAGGTTTTTGTTTTTCTTCATATGATAAAACAGGTTAAAAAAATCACATATAAACATGTTTTTATAGAAAATGTGTGCACGCGCGCACACACACACACACACACACACACACACACACACACACACACACACACACACACACACACACACACACACACACACAAGTTGGATTAACGGGAGCCAATCGTGAAGGTCTGAAGCACTGTCTTTGTTTATGGCCCTTTTAGTATAAAATGAAACAGACACACCAGAAAAATACACGTCACCACCCTTTTACCTGTACTTTAAGAGTGTGTAGCCTGTTCACACTACAGCCACTCGCTCTTGTTTTACCCAAATGCTTTGAGTCCAGTAAGAGGTGCTAAAAGCATCATGTCACATTTGTCTAAAAATGACTCCTGTGTTTTGTACTCTCAATTGTATATATTCAGACCCTTTATTACATCCATATTAGTGTTTCAACTAATGTCACATTCTTGCAAAACACGGTGCATTTGTGGGAGGGTGACACAAATAGGATGCATTTGTAAATTAGGCTTTTAAAATATTAATTGCAATAACAACCCTTGAAACCAATTTGCATTGCTTGCCATATAATTTTCACTTTATATTCACTGCGAAATCTAATTTTATACAGACTGGTTTGCAAAATAACATTAGCTGATCTTCAGTGCATTTTTTCAAACTCAGATATTTCTACTCTTTTAAAGCGTTTATTACTTTGAGTAGGCACAATAATGATTGGCTTTTCAAACAACGCCTCTATGCACACTCGTTGTAACCGTTTGCATCAATTTTTTTGAGTTATGACAACTTCGAAACAAATTGTTTTCAACCAACAAACTACATTGAGTTAGAGGTACTTCATTTATAACATATACACAAATATTTAAGTTGATTTTTCAAAAATATTAAGTCACTATGATTTTAGGAACCAGTAATTCTTATCTGTTTCACAGCTATAATAGCACATGCTACGACGTGTAACTAATTTGGCATGGATTTTAATGAAAAAAGATATTACTTGTTGTCACTGCACACAGTCATTGCTTATGAGTCAACGTAGAGTTTACCTTCATGTTGTCAAACTCTTCAGCACAATGATTACCACAAACATTTCAAGATTACATATGTCAAACATAACAGCGTTAAACACTAACAAGCCTTTCCCTTCAGTAAAAAACAAACAAACAAACAAATAAAGTATCACTTCATTTCAATATTCATTCAAGTCCTATGCAAAGCATGCAAGAATTAGAAAGTAACAAATCATGGCCCATTGCTGTGATTTAATCTAAAGGATATTGCTTATAAAGAAAGAGACCTTCAAGATATTGGGACAGTTTTGAAAATTGAAAATGTATGGACAAAAGGTAAATTATGCTCATAATAACTTAGGATATATTTAAAAATGAATCAAAGCTGCAGAAAAAAAGTGAAGCTAGGTTATGGCAAAAACAAAATGTACCTGATGGATGCATCACTTGACATTAAATCGCAAAGTTTGGTGAAAATGGTATAAACGTTTAAAATGATATATTTCTAAGAACTTTGCACTTTTAAACTAGATTTGATCATTACTGTGTTACAAGTCATCCTGTGACCTCAGAGAGAGAGAGAGAGAGAGAGAGAGAGAGAGAGAGAGAGAGAGAGAGAGAGAGAGAGAGAGAGAGAGAGAGAGAGAGAGAGAGAGACACTCTGTAGCTTGAGGGAAATGTCAGCGAACAGTGATGGAGTTTCCCTCTCCACTGTGAACCCATTCTCACTTGTTCCCTTTCCCTCTTTTTCACTCTCCCATGATCTTCCTCTCTATCTTTCATCATGAGCTCCTCCAGCATGTCTTAACTCACACTCGGTTGTAAGTGTGAGACGGTCCACCTGTGACCTGCTCCTCTTTCGCAGTCCTTTTTTATTTCACCATGCTCTCTGCTCCTGCTTCTCACTGTTTGTGTATCTGTATCTGCTCAAGGTCCATTTCCCCATCACAATTTCCTTTTCAACTGTGCTTTGTTCCTCCTCGCTTTAGTGTCATCCTCATTTCTATTCCACCCCATGCTTCTTTAAGCCTTCTAGCATTACTTCACACCTATATGACCAAAAGAAGACATCACATGACAGACATGAAATGTCCACTGCTTCTTGAAAAGGCTTTTGCTTTGGCATGAGTGTCCTTATGGATATTACCGCAGGGAATGCACTACATACCAGGCTATAGAGCTCTGAAATGGTTTGTAAATAATGTAATTTCTCTTTCTCCTGCATTTGATAAATAACGGTTAAGTATGTATCATTAAAGCACAGAATCTTTTTTTTTTTTTTTTGTGCTTATAGTATTATATCTGTATGGTGACCCATACAATTCTCTGTAAACAAGAAGCCGCTATTATGATGCATAAAAATATGCGCATTAAGCCTTTGGAGTCCTTTCAATTGAAAAACACATTAAGTCATGTCACATTTGTTAATATATCCAATAGCACTTACAATACAAAGCAGCTTCACTTTAATAAACAGGAGGGGGGAAAAAACAGTGTTAATGTTGCAAAATTCATCAATAATGAAACATTCACTTCAGCTCAAATTATTATTCAGCTCAAGTCAAATCTGTTCATTTCAGTTTGGTAGGCTATGTGTCAATGTCACAAAGTCTGTGCATGTATACATGCAATTTTTTTTTTTTTTTGATATTGAAAACAGAAAAATATTGTAAGCAAAGAATGAGGGCATTTTTTCTTTGAGGAAATTACCTGGGTGATCATTTTCCTAAAAGAAAAAAAAAATGTTCGGGTGCAATTTAGACCTATTTTGGCATAGAAATGGCTTAAAATGACTGAAAAATGCCCCCAGGATAAAAACACACCACGGCATGGATTGTATAACACAACAGGGCGCTTGGAATTATCCAGATTTAGCAAAACCTTCCATCTTTCTGAATGGATCTTTATCTCTCAGTTTGAAACTGTAAAATCGAATGCCAGGGGAGAAGACAAGCTTTATTTATTATCTGCTCAAAATTCTGCTCGCATGCAGTTTCGGTTGTTTTCTTCAGCATTAGCTGTTTTTATACATTATAAAGCCATTTGTATTCCAGCCATTCGTATTATTAGCTTGCCAGATTTGTGCTTAACACTGCATTTGCCTTGTGGATGATCAGGGGCACGAGCTGCACAGCTTGAGCTGTGAGGAGGAGCAGGGGTTTGTGCCGTCTCTCCTCTCCTTTTCATTACTTTCTCATTTGGTTGGCACCACCATGGCCGAGTCCTACCGCAGGATGTTTGCTCTTTGTGAGCAAACAGACTGATGTCAAAGGTGTCTCGGCATCTTCATGTCTTGTAATTGAACAGGGCTGAGAGAGCCTTCACACATACTCATGCATTCACAATCACAAGGATGACAAGAATATCTCACTTCTAATCTCTGAATCCATTTTATAACCACAGCAAATAAATGTAGACACACACAGTCAGACATGGATGAACTGGTGTCTCAAAACCACTCTCATTAGAGTATTAGTAGACTGTTAGGTTAGGGTTCGGCTTAGACTACATGTTGCAAAGTAACTTATAGTCAGTAGAATGTCTCAAAATAAAGTGTAGATGGTAGCAGATATTAATCAGACAGTCTTACTAATACTCTAATGACTGCTAGTTGACATGTAGATGTAAAGTTACTTATAGCTAGCAGAATGTCTAAAGTGGACCAGAGAATAGTGTATATTCACAATAATTTTATTTACTGATCTAAAAGTATTATTATAATTACTATTATTATTATTAAAAATACAGTGCTACCACTACTACCACTCCTACTTTTATTTTCATGAATGCTGTTTGTTGCCAAGTACTACCGCCACTATCGCCACTATTTTTATCTTTGTTATAATTATTATTATTAGTATGAACACTGCCTCTACATCTACTACAATTCTATTACAATTACTATGAATATCTCAATATTGCTTCTATCTAAATCTCTAAAATATCCCATTGCTTAAAATTACCAAGTGGACCAAAATTTCTAATAATTCTGGTGAATATCTGGCAAATAATTATTTTAGTTCTGAGCATAAACCTCACCAAATGTTATTCGATTTATGGTTAAAAAAAGCTATTAGCAAATGTGGGAAGAATAATCAACTTAAAGTCTACATTTTTTGACTTATCTATTGATATTTTCACCTTTTTGAGTGAGCAGATGTCCCTTAGGATTGCCATCAGTACCTTTAACTAACAAGGTTTTTCTTTTTATAGGTCTTAATGACGCCTGGAGCAAGAAACATCAACGAGAGAAAGCCAACTGTGATAGACCTCTAAAACTCATCTATTATATGATGGTACGATGGAACAACTTCAACTCTAGATGAACTAATCTTGATTCAACAATATGCTGTGGATCAATTCTCCACTGGGAGGTTGTTCTTGAGGCAAGAGCACGTGGAGAGTAACATCGTAATACTTTGATTCACAGACTCAATTTCTTTTTAATGAGCTGGAATGCCTTTCCCCTGCCAAGAATGAGAAATTGAAAGATGCTCAGTGAGCCGTGCCCTTCAACACCTGCACACTCTCAGAGACGAGCACAAGTTTGCTTGGGATTTGAAGAAGAATGCTCCTACATAGAATTTTGCAGATGCAACAATTTCGCCTTCCGATTTCAATTTGTCTGCTTAGTACTTCAGATTTTTTGAGTTCTGAAGATGAATCCCTTAGAAGCTGGAGATGAGACTGCTGGGTCGACATAAGGACCTGATTATTGGTTTGGCACACAAAAAAATTCAAGGACACTTGAAGGTTAAAAAAAAACAATTCTTGGAGATATTCCGTTTGTTTTATTGGTGACATTTTGAGAATGTCGGACTTCACAACACCATTAAGACATTGACTGGAAATCTCAAACTGAGAGGCCCAATTTGGGTAAACATATCAAACACAATACAATACAATATAAAATGGCGGAGCTTGCTGGATACAATGGCAGCGAGAGCTTCATGCTCTCAACCGGTCTGCCTTTCAACTCGACTGGTGACTATGACTATTATGATTCTGAACCTGATGCTAGCAAGATCATCATCCCCTCCATCTATGCACTGGTGTGCTGTGTCGGTGTCACAGGGAACGCCATGGTCATCTACGTCATCCTCAAGTACGCCAAGATGAAGACGGCCACCAACATCTACATTCTCAATCTTGCCATCGCGGACGAACTCTTCATGTTGAGCGTCCCGTTCCTGGCGACCTCGGCCGCGGTGCACCACTGGCCGTTCGGCTCGCTCATGTGTCGTTTGGTTCTCAGCGTGGACGGCATCAACATGTTCACGAGCATCTTCTGCCTGACCGTGCTGAGCGTGGACCGCTACATCGCCGTGGTGCACCCCATCAAAGCGGCTCGCTACCGTCGCCCGACCGTCGCAAAAGTGGTCAACGTTTGCGTGTGGGTGCTTTCGCTGCTTGTGATTCTGCCCATCATTATATTTGCAGACACGGTCCCGGCACAGGACGGTGGAGTGGACTGCAACTTTCTATGGCCTCAGGCCTTGTGGTCTGAAGCGTTTGTGGTCTACACATTCCTACTGGGTTTTTTGGTCCCAGTGGCAGCCATTTGCATGTGCTACTGTTTGATCGTGGTCCGCATGCGAGCCGTGGGCCTCAAAGCGGGCTGGCTGCAGCGCCGGCGCTCTGAAAAGAAGATCACACGCATGGTGCTGCTGGTGGTCGCCGTTTTCGTGGTCTGCTGGATGCCGTTTTACATTGTGCAGCTGATCAGTGTGTTTTGCAAGCCGCCGGACCCCATGGTGACTCAGCTATTTGTCATTCTGAGCTACGCTAACAGCGGCGCCAACCCCATTCTCTACGGATTTGTGTCTGACAACTTCCGCCGCTCGTTCCAGCGTATCATCTGCTTCCGCTGGCTGGAGAACGGGCTGGATGCCGAGCAGGTGGACTATTGCGCTGTCGCCCTACGGCGTCAGACCACATGTGGCCCAAAGGACTTTCCAAAGGAGTGCTTAGCCTCCGACATGGTGTTTCGCAATGGAACCTGCACGTCCCGTACAACAACTCTGTGAGAGGCTATTCAGTCAGAGTGTTCGAGTTTAAAGGGATTGTTCACCACACTTACTTTCATGTCGATGCAAACCTGTATGACTTTCTTTCTTTTGTGGAACAGAAAAGAAGGTGCTTTGAATAACCTTTTAGTTACAATTGACTTCCATTGCTTGGACAAAAAAAAAAAAAGAAAGAAGTATTTTATGTTCCACAGAGGAAAGTAAGTAATGTTTAAAACGATATGAGGGTGAGAAAAGAAGACAGAATTTTTCATTTTTGGGGTGAACTATACCTTCATTACTTCACTAATTACACTGGCTGAGAGCTCATTCCCTCACCCTCAATCCATATGACTTTCTTTTTTCAGCCGAACACAATCGGAGTCATATTAAATAATATCCTTGCTCTTCCCAGCTTTGTAATGGCATTGAATAAACCACATCCATCCATCCATCATAAAAGTAATCCATATGAATCCAGAGGGTTAATAAATGCCTTGCGAAGTGCAGCGATGGGTTTTTGTAAGAAAAGTGTCCATATTTAAAACTTTATAAACTATAATCCCTGGCTTCCAGCAGCGGCTGTACTGGTGTTCATGAGAGAGTTGAGTTCTGGTAGAACCGTGAGCTCTGACCCGACGTATAACGTAGGATGTAGCTCCTCTTCTATTATATCGAAATCCTCCGAAAATGTTCTTTATAACTTCTTGTTTTAGACTTCTCATTCATGACCAGCGTTTTGTTTTGCTCTAACCTCGGCACTTCTGCCTTTGTCAATTATCGCCTAACTTTATGCTACGTAATAAATCCTACGTCGGGTTCCAACTGAACTCGACTCGAATGCGTATGAGCCATTCCACCGAAAGGGTGACATTTCTGTCCCCAGGACATTATATGTATAAAATTGCATGAAAATTAACTCTAAAATACATTTTATTATTAAGCAAAATGTCATGCACATTAAGCTAACTACAAATTTAAAATGTATAATTAAAAACATTAATAAAAACTACATAGAACACAAAAAAATAGCATTTTCTGCATGTCCCCACTCTCTATCTCTAAACTTTACCATGAAATATAATGATTAAAATCCTTCAGAAATCAGATTTTTTTTGCATTGTTGTGTGACTTTATATCCAATCTGCTTTAAAAGGAAAAAAGAAAAAAACATTTGATCTAATATTTTAGATAAAATACACATTTTAGTCATGTCCCCGGGTTTTCACTCAGTCCTGTTACCCTATTACATCCCCCCTCTGAAAAACGTAGAATATTCCACAAGACACATTTTCAACAGGAAGTTGCATCATCTGGATCTTCTGAAGGCAATGGGGCGACCATAAGTAAGTCCTCTCATTTCAATTTCTGTATATTTGATGAAATTGTAACTATGATTGAGAAGGTCAATCTCAACATACGGTCCTGTTACCTAAACTTTTTCTTAGATTTAATTTGTTTATTTTAAAAATATTAACTTTTGGTAAGGCACTAGAAATGGCTCAGTGTCCTCATGCTATTAGCATCTAGCTATGTGGCCATATGCCATGTATTTGATAACTTTTTGCTTAAAAACTCAATCCTGTTACTTTCAGTCCTGTTACTATTTTTTTCTTTTTCTAAAAAAATAAAATTAAACCACTATTTTTATCAGTTTTGTTTGGCCCATAATTTATACAAATATTTAATAAATTAAATTCTAAAAAAAATTGTAAACTTGAGGCTTCGGTCTTCTTTAAAATGAAAAAATGGCTTTGTGTGTTTTTTTTTTAAATACACCTTGCCTTAATAGTGATTTTATTGTCACAAATATCAATTTTTTGAACATATAACCAACAATTTCTTTAAATAAACCCTTTCTTGTGGAGAAAACAAAGGAATTAATTGACATGCTTTTAAACTTGCTTTTTAAATGGCACATGATTTTCGGTAACAGGATTGAGAAAACATGCGCCTATCTTCTGCTTAAACCTTGTAAAAAAATAAATAAAGTTGCCTGAGATTGACCAATACACATTTTGAATAGTTAAATATGTGTAGTATTAGATTCAATGTTGAAAAAGATAAAAAATAAAGTTTAATTTTGAAGAGTTACAACAAGCAAATGTCACCCATTCGGTGGAATGGCCCGTATACGGCCATTGCCGGAAGCCAGCGATTATAGTTTATAAAGTTTTAAATATGGATATTTTTCTTACAAAAACCCATTGATGTGCTTCAAAAGGCCTTTATTAACCCACTGGATTCGTATGGATTACTTTGATGATGGATACACTTTTAGGAGCTTCAAAAACTCAGGCTGTATTCAATGCCATTACAAAGCTGGGAAGAGCCAGGATGTTATTTGATATAACTCTGATTGTGTTCGTCTGAAAGAAGAACGTCATATAGGATGGATTGAGGGTCAGTAAATTACGGGATAATTTTAATTTTTGGGTGAACTATTCCTTTAAGGGAAATAAACAAAGATTCATTCTGAGAAAGAACATTCTGAGCAATTGTAAGCACAATTACAAGGTCAAATTAATACAATAATAATAATTGCTTACATTGCTACTTTACCCCAATATTTCCTTGGCTGGAATACATTACACGGAAATCAGGCTTTTTGTAATTGGTAAAACAACTTTTTGAGTGGTAACAGATTAAAATTAGGTATCATACACTAAACAACTGAGGATCACACACTTTCAAATCGTTCCGAACACAACCAACTCACAAAGAAACCTTCGCCTCATTGCAAATGAGGTATATGACAAATTAAACCAATCTGTTCTGAAAACGGCTCAAAATATCAAACATGTCTGATATCCTCCGACTGGACTGAATCATAAGCTTAAAGATCAAGATACAATTTTCTGTGAAATCGATCAATTGCCAAATATCTGCAGACTTTCTCTGGCTTTGGGCAACTAGCGTTGACTTGTTCAGGGCAAAAATCTGTGTAGTGTATTCCAGCCTTTAGTCTACAATAATCAAAAAAATAATCCATAAGATAAAGTCCCAGAAAATGGTAATTCATGCATTGTTCATACATTTCTTCTTCTCTGTTTCTAAAGAGAGGAGACAGTCCAGTGCATCTGTATAGATAAACCAAATATTTGTTGAATCTTTAAATATCGTTCATTTCTAATTGATGTGTAGACATTGTTTTAATTCAAATGAGCTTAAGGGATTAGTTGACAACATAAACATGAGGCTCCATAATTTACCCCTTATCAAAGTGCGGTCACATTAACCGTTGCTCTGCAAGACTTCACATTCAAAACCCACACACGTTTCCCCATGCAGACTTCATTCAGATTCAAGTTGGTTACACAAATTTGCTGTGTTGACCATCAGAAACTGCTTGGTTTGAAAGCGACCTCTGTGTGAGTGATGCTTTTGATTCCCTACTACACTATTAATTTTTTTGCCTGAGAACTTTTGCAGAAATGCTGCTTATGTGACCGCATCCTTGTAGTAAGTGCAGGGTCACCCAAATGGAGAGCAAGGTCAGAATATTTGGTTCTCAAGATGAAGTCATAAGGGAATGTGGACGTGTTATATCTCAGTTTGCCTTAAAAATACTACAGAATTTCCATCAAAAACTGGTGAAGATTGCCCTGAAAATGTTATAATGAACAACAATTATCCCCCATACTCTTACATCTGTGATCTTTATGTAATAATGTTAATTGTCGATTAATTGTAGATCAATGTTATATGAAACATATGTTAAAATAGTTACTTTGTGGATTCTACTCTTGAATGCATACCTAAACGCACAATATCACCAAACCAAAATAATTCATTAGTTCTTGCTTAAATGGTTTTCTTTGTTATATTTTGTGAGGCAAATGGCCAAATTTTATTCAGGTCACCCTGCTTTAAAATTGTGTTGTGGGTCCAAATTGTTGATATTTTAAAGTGAATAAAAAAGTTGACTGAATCTAGTCAGGCGTCTGCTGATTGTCTAGAGAAGCACTATTGCAAAACATAGTGAAGAATTATTTCGGTTGCAGAAGCACGATGAACAAGGTGCTCGCTAGAATGCTACTTTAATTCACTTGAACTCGACACAGACAGATGCTCAAGTTCCAAGTCTACCCACTTTTAAGCCTGCTTATCTTTGCTTCTTGCATCATTTTCAATCATTTTGAGCCCCTTCGTCTGCTCAAGCAATTCATTACCCCTCAAATAAGAAAGCCAGGGATTGGTTTCAATCTAATGGGGTTTGTAAGTTTGCCCATTCCTTTCCCTAAACCTTATGACATAAGTTTGCGCAATGCATTAAGTCTTCTTTTAGAAAGTTGCTGCCTCACACAAAAACAGATACACTGTAAATCCAGCAAAAACAGCTGGTTTTTGTTTAGCGACATGATTCATTTTTATCTCCTGACAGTTAAAACTGCCTTTAACTAGGAAGAAACAGACACAGGAGTAGTTACGTCATGTTTCACCATAAGAACATTTCATGGTCAAAGCAAACACATCCTAAAGAGACTCAATGTAGAAGTGGATATGCAGGTTTATTGGAAACTTTTCCATGTGTTCAGCTAATAAATCAGGCCAGATACAAACAAATGAATAAATCACAGGAAAGTAGAATACACAAATAAAAAACACATGCCAGAACATGCATTGTTCCAATGATGATGAGAAGTCGGATGAAGCATCTATTATTTTTTTTTTTTGTCTGCATGATATGTTTTTCATCTACAAAGGATGTGTATTTGAATTTTGAGTCCAATCAAGTTGCAGTTAGTGACTAGTTTTTTCATTAGCATGCTTGGTAATGCAGCCATACAAATGTATTGAGTTCCAGAAGTTTGAATGCTAGCATTTCATAACCGCAAACAAGCTATCTGTGCACTAAAGCATGCATGAAACATTCAAGTAGAATTCTTAAAATAGTAGTCAACTAACTGTGAGCAGTTCACTATAGCATCAAAACAGAAAAGACCTAGTACTCCCGAATGACCCTGTATGAGCAGAAACACACGCATGCTTCCTCCCTCATGTAGCAATTATGTTTCACAAGCACAATGTCACTCTTTTTAATGCTCTTTGTAAACACTGAGTTGACCTTCAGTCGCAAGATTAGGCCCACATTTATAATCATCCACTGCAGCTGACTCAAATCACAGTG